TCACAAGCTTTTAACCGGTTGAAAAGTAATTAAAAACCGATTATAAGTATATGATTATAATCGATTTTTACCGTGTTTTTTATTACATAAGCTCCACAAGATGGAGCATCTAAATAAGACATGAGATTTATCATTGTTGTCAGTTCCTCGTTTAATGATAATTGAATATTTAGACTTGTTGATTATTGTCTCTAAATAGTCTGCTGATTGTATGCGAAGAATATTGAAGTTCTACATCAATGCTTTATTTATGTCTGTGTTTTTTCATAATAGTCCACCGGAAATTGCAATACCTAAATCAACAAATGATCAAAAAGTATTTCAAGTATTCGAATGTTCTCAAGGTGAACTTGAATATGAACAAGATGTACCTGGTAAAATAAGTGAATCATTAGAAAATGATCAAGTAACATCTGGTGTATTTTGGGAAATTCGTGTGAAATGTAATAAAGGAGCAAAAATTTCTTATGGACCATGGGCTGATCGACAGAGGTTTTTATAAAAAAAACATTTTTTCAATATCATCGTTATGTTTATTCGATATCTAGAGAATTATTATGGCAATATTTTCTTCCAACATTATATGAAGAATCTCCAATAACAACTGAACCATCAATTGGTCAAACACGAATATTTAAATCAGTTCGTTTCAAATTAGCACTTAATTGTCCAACGATATTAGATGTTTATTTTATGAATAAAATGGTTCGATTGAAATTTTCATACTTTCCATTAATTTAAAATTTAAATTTAATATAGAAACTTCAAAAACTTCACGTTGACTGTCCTTCAAAAGGTTCGTATTTTGATGCTATACTACCATTTTCAACAAATCCCGATGGTTTTGATACATCCTTATCAATCAATATGTTAGAAACAATAGCTCAAACAAATCTTGCATTTACACCATTGCTTAAAGCTGAAAATATTCATGTAATACTTTGTCTTAATAATATAATAGCAATGAACAGTTTTCATTTAGATTAACGTTCATATACATTATCCACGCATATGGAATTCCTTACAAGATTGGTTTGTTGATATTGATGCAAAAAATCCTCAAGTTTATTTTGTTTTTGAACAAAAGAATTTCTTTCAAGGTTAAATTCATATTTTTATCGAAAATTCAACTCTATTTATTTATGTATATAGCTTTAATTAATGATTTTGGTTCATCCATACCGCCTGATATTTATTCGTTTACACCATTTATTTATAATATAACTTTACGTGGTGAACAAGTTGAAATATTAATTCCATGTAATCAAGGAAACTGGATTGATTGTTCAGATGGAAATGATGGCAGACTGATAGAAAATAGTAAAGAAAATTTAAATATTATTTCGAATAAAACTCTCTTTTTATTTTAAGATTACGTATCTTTATGTGCAAGATCACTCGAATTAAAATATCCATTATCATTTGTAGAATTTTGTCCAATTTCTACATCGGCGGACTTAAATATTCAAGTTTGTTTTTTTTTTGTATTTCGAAAGAAAAGATAAAAAACGAGGTTTTCATTTAGGTCACGGATGTACTTGCACGTCTAATTATACCAGAAATTAATCGAATGTATTATATTGTCGACGGACTTAATGAGCATAAACGGTTTTATACACCAGATGGTGTGAAATCACATTTATCGTTATCAGATACATTTGAAAAAAGGTAAATTAACGAAATAAAATTCAAAAATATTCATTCTTTGATTTTAAAGACCTGGTTGTTTTGAATGTGCGGAAGTAAATCATATAAATGTTCTTGTACAAATTCTTCTTCATCCTTCACCTCCAGTTGATATGAATCGAACCGGTAAGAAAGATTTTTTCTTTAAAAAGCAAATATATCATCCTATATTTATTTTGATTAGATCTTTTATATGTTCAACAAATCAAATCCATGGGTAATCGTCAAACATTTCATCCGAATAAACTTAAATATGATGTATTCAATCTTGAAATTGATCTTGGTCCTGTTAATTTACTTTTACATGGTTTATTTTTAAAAAAACTTTGGTGGATTAAAGTAAATTAATAAAATTGAAAAAAATTCTTATTGATTTGTTTTTTTTCGTCAAGGAAAATCTATTCGGGTGGGATCAAATGTTTCATGATATACATGAACCTGATTTAATACGTGATAAAAAGATTATTGTACATGATGATCCACTTATTGGTATGATTGATGAAAATCAAGCATTTGATCCAAGATATTTTCGACCATTAATGGTTACTCTACGCGTTGCACTTCATAATATAACATTTCACCTCCTTCATGTAATATTAAAATTTCTATGAGAGATTAATTCTTCATCTTTTTTGTTTTTTCATAGCATACTGATATTGAACCGAGTCCAATTGGTTTTTGTGAAAGACTTTGTGTTGAAATGACAACTGATTTAAATGAAACAAGATTACAAGTACTATTTTTACCTGTTAATGTCTATGTAGAAGATACAATTGTTGTAAGTATATTGATATGAACTATATAATTCTTTTTCTCGTAGAGAAGAGTCCAGTAAACATAAATTATCTGCTTGTGTGTCCGCAGGGTCAAAAAATATCGAAAATCTATTTTTCACGGTTTTCACTTGTTTTTTCAGTAAATGTGGGGAGGATGCATTTCTACGAGAAAGAGCTAAGCGAGTCCACGGAACGAGCGTTACTTGTTCGATTAGACACTTTTATTTTATTTTTCTAGAGAAATAAATCTGATCAACATTTATCTACTGGAAGTCTTCAGTTGTCCGGTTTAATCATTCGTGGTCATGCAATGCTTTCTCATGAAGGTTTACCACCAGAACGTGAAACACTTGAATATGCATGGCAAATGGAAATAGTACTAGGCAAAGTATCAGCACGTTTAACAACAATTCAGGTATTTTAGAAAAATATGGAATTATATATTCTTTTATTCGAATTTATAGATGGAAAAAGTGCTTGGTTTTGTAAAGAATTTTTATCTACAAATTATGGAAGATGAATATACACTCATACGTTCACCTGTTATGGATAAAACAAAATGGATTGAAAAATTCAAATATGATGTACTTAGATTTAGTTTAGATTCAATTGATGTTAGTCTTATCGAAATTGGAAATGCTGTTCATGCACAAGTAAATAATTCTTCTTGTTTTTAATATCTGAATCAAAACGAAATTTATTTTCAGGTTGCACCAATTCGTTTATGCATGTGTAACATGCATACACATTCATGTAATGAAAGTTTAACTTTAAAAGTCGGTGCTATACAAGTTCGTCAATTACTTCGTCTTTATCCTGGTTCATGGTTAGAAGCTGGTTCAATACAAATTCCTGAATTACGTATAAATGCTAAATTTGATTGTCATCCTCCAACACCCATTAGTATCAATGAACAATTAGAATTTCTTCGTCGACATGATCAACATTCTCAGCGACTTCATTTTCTTTACAATATAAAATCTCAACAATTACCAACAACAACATCATCATCAAATATAAAACGACCATCAAGTGTTGGTTTACCACCGAATGCAAATATTCATTCTTGCGCATGTCTTGGTGGTTCACCACATTATTATACACTTGTTCAAGGTGAACAATTTTTTAAAAGTTCATTTCGTCTTAGTGAACAATCATCATTTGGTCTTTCTCTATTTGAACCTGATGTACATGTTATACATTCTCATCCTATATTTAATCATAAATATAATTGGAATACTTATGAACATACTTTTCTATCAAATGAACAATTGAATGATGAAGAAATTTTTTATCCATTTGATTTTTGTACACAACAAAAACAAGAAAATTTAAATACTCATGAAAATTATTCACATCAGAGTGTACCTGCAAATTTATATTCATTATCACGATCAAATTCGGTTAAAAATATTCGACATAAATCAATTGCTGAACCAAAATTTCATAAACGTTCATCATCATCAATACCATTTGATAATAATGATATTATTGGTTCATCATCATCTGGAACAATTAATGATATGTATTTAACACCAGATGAAGTATTATCATCAAATCATTCTAGTAAAAAAAGTCTAGATAATATTATGGAAATGTCGTCATTAACTGTGACACAACGTGCATCATCAGCAAATTCATCACCCGCATCTTCACATTCAAATTTAATATCAAAAACTTTAGATGAAAAAGATAATTTATCAACAAGATCTTCACATACATCATCAACTGATTCATTAACAGCTTTAGAAGAAATACTTAAACGACAACAAATAGGAAGTACGACTTCAACATCATCACCACAAAAAGTAAATCTATAAGAAAAAATTAAATTTAACACGAAAATAATTTTTTTTCTTAGGATATTTCATCACCCGTAGAACATAAATCAGTTCTACAACCTTCATTACCTAGTTCTTCATGGATTAGTTTAAGAAGTCAGATGAAAATGCCTATACCAAAATCGACTCTATTATGTACAACATATATTCGTTATTTATCACATTATCGTTCATCAACTTGGTCGAATAAATCTTCTTTTCCTCCTTCAATTCAACAAAATCAAATGAATCATCATCCATTACTTGATTTTAACTGTGTTTCTCAAGGTTTTTCATGTTCATTTCTATCTGATTCATTACAATCAACACAATCACGTCATCAACAATCTCAATCAACAAGTTCTCGACAACGTGCATCGATTGTTCCATCATTATCATCATTTTATACATCAAATATAATTTCAACAGAAAAAGAAGTATGTCTTCGATTTATTGGATCATTAAATATACTTTTAACACCATTGATGCTTGAATGTTTAACAACATATATTGATAAATGGAATACATATGATATTCATCCAATGTCTATTCTTGATGGTCTTCATTTACTCGGTCAAACAAAATCGAATTCACCTTCAACATCAATTGATTTATCAGCAACAAAAATTTCTTTACAATTACCTAAAATAAATATTTGTTTATTACAAGCTGGTCTAGCTGAAGATAATGTTCAATTAACTGAATTACGAACACCAGTTGATATTGTTACAATGTCATTATTTGCACTTTCATGTAAACAAATTCAAATGGAAACAATTTTATCAAATCGTGATCAATCAACAGCTGGTGTTTTTAAAATTCAATCATTAACAGGACAATTTCGTCGATTTGAAAATGA